CCTGTGCTGGACATGTCACCTCACTGCCATGGCCTCGCTGCCCTGTGCTGGACATGTCCACACTGCCATGGCCTCACTGCCCTGTGCTGGACATGTCCACACTGCCATGGCCTCACTGCCCTGTGCTGGACATGTCCACACTGCCATGGCCCTTTCACAGCATTCTGAGGGGCCCAGAACTGAACGTGGCACTCGAGGCACCTTCTCTTGAGGGCACAAATTGCCAGGAAGGGGCCGGGCAGCTGTGCCTGGGGTCCGGCCCGGGTGACACGGAGCAGTTCCTGGGCAGGAGCGGCCACTGCCGGGGTGTCCTGCTGTGGGTGACACTGCCCTGTGCCCGCTGAGCCTCCCTGCTGCATCCTCAGAATTGCATGGGATACTGTTCCAGTCAGCACATGATGCTCTCTCYGCAAAGTGAAAAGCCGGCATGTAGTTACTTAAAAAAACTAAACTAAACTGCCTCCAGCGTGGTTTAATATAAAGGTTTTTAACAGCAGGAAGGTTTAATTGAACAGCTTTCAGGTTAGATGGGCTGTGGTCAAAGGGGCTTCCCTTAAATGTGCCTCATGGCCATGATTTTCCATTCGTCATACAAAGTGAGCTATGTTCACCAGAGAGTGCATTAATAATGAAAGCAAAAGTTGTGAACCTTGGATTTAGAATAGTTCTCCAAGATCTCAAAACTCTGTCCAAGTGGAAAAAAATGTTTGAAAACTGACTTTTGAAGAACGTAGGAGTTTTGCATATGTCTATAAATATCAGGTTAATGGGTTCACACTGATTTTTAATGTCTCTGATATTTTAAATTCCAGTATACTTAAATTAGTTTTATGTGATCTGCATAATCTTTGCTGCTGACCCTCACAATCTGGAATAAATAATGATTTTTTTAACATCTTTCTGAATGAATGAATGGAAGTGACAAGGAAAATGTTTCATGGCAGGTGATACATACACACATAGCTTATTCTGTGTTAATTTCCTGACATAGACACAAAATATACACAAAGCTGTACAAGAGTGGCTGCACTGTGCTGTAATTTTTGCTTATCTGATGGTGTAATGCCAATCCAAATATTGCATAAGATTTTCTTGGAAAAATCACTGGCATGTTGAATTTGCCTTCCCTTTTTGGGATGAGTWGAGTTTGTGTGGTTTTTAGCGTTTTTGCTGGGCGCCTCTAGGTGTCAGGATTATTTTTTCAGAATCTGCAACTCATCTGAAATTTTTCTCGGCACAATGCTAGCCTTATAAAACCCTTGCGAATTCCACCTCTCCTTCTGACAAATRGGAACGCGCTTATAAATAGGAGCCCATAATTTATCTAAGCCTTCCACAGTCCGTGCGTGGTCTTTGCTACAAACTCTCAGGCCTTTCAGACAAACCTGTATCACTAAAAGGTAACCAGATGACGCCTTTTTACAACTCTTGTGACAATCTCCCACAAAGGCGTTATAATTCCAGGTGGGGAAGCGGTGCAGCTTCCCTGGGATGGGAATTCCYGGAGCGCAGCAGTGCTACCGCTCAGACACTGAGCTCTCCCGCACCGATAGTTTCCTCTGCTGACGCGCCCCTCGCACACATTCACAGAATTCCAGAACCCCGGAATCCCAGAGTCCCAGAATCCCAGGATCCCAGAATCCCAGAATCCCAGAGTCCCAGAGTCCCGGAATCCCAGAGTCCCAGAGTCCCGGAATCCCAGAATCCCAGAATCCCGGAATCCCGGAATCCCAGCGTCCCAGAACAGCTGGGGCTGGAACAGGCACCTCTGGAGACCATC